CGATATCTCGTAAATCGTATCCGCTCGGCTATCATCGCATTCGCTCTGGGTAGACGCTAGTATGCCTATATGAAAGAGAATAAGCAATCGCGTTTTCTGATCGTTTGTTCCGAATTAAAAATAAACACAGACGAGACAAGCTTATCAAAACTAGCGCCCCGTTTTAAAGTTAAATATTTTATGCCGCGAGGGCAAAGCGGAGGCCAAAGCGACGTTGCATATTTCAAAACGCTTACGCTCAAAGAAACCGACCTGGCCTCGCGATAAAAAATTCACGCGCCGTTTCTTCAAATGAACGCTATTAAGTTTTATTTCCCTTTTGTGCTCTGCGCCCCTGCGCCACGTGTATCCAGGACGGAGCACACTTTCTTCCTTACGTTACGCCCAACGAAAAATATCGTGTGTTGGGGCAACTTTGTCTAGAAACGATCGTCGTCGTCGTCCTGGTAATTTTGATTCCCTTGATCAGCTTAAGTTACTAATCAAAACCATTGGAACTAAGGCCTGACTACATCGCGTGAGGGCGTTTAGTTTAGTTTAGTTTAGCTCTTTAGACAAGTTTAGTTGCTCTCAAAACGTAACAGTATATTCACACAAACCATAAAACTCTTTCACAGACCACCGAATACATTTCGCGGGTAACAGCAGGATATGCTTCACCTCTGTAAATTGAATAATGGAAATTGTATGTATTCACATTGTTATACATATGTTAGGTTCATGAATAACTAACCTTTGCATGTGTATAGGTAAAAAATAATCAGACCTTGGACAATTATCCAAATTGATCATATCAGACCTTACTGTTTACAAATCTACTGGATTCCTCCTGCTTCCGTTGTTTATAAATGAAACTTGCTGACAATTCATCCTGTTGACTTCTTCAGTGCTAAACTGAAAGTGGTTCGCATTCTACTCTGAACCTGCTTATATATTGCTGTGGGTAGAAATAAAGGTCCCGGTTAAGGTTGTGCTTTGAGATTAGTTGATATTTTTCGTCCGGTCTCTCCAACATTTTTTGCATATGCATGGAATATTGTAAACTCCTGTTATGTCAAACGGAATTCCGTCTTTGAGGATTCGAAAATATGGAGGGATTTTTGGACAAGCAATAAATCTAATTTTGACATTATATTTCTTAAGAACTGGTGGTCAGTAATTTTCCGAATGTAAGGACAGCACTGGCAAGTGCTTGCTTTGGGACTCATTCGCTTTATCAATCATCATTGCCGGTCAAAATAAATAAGAACTAAAACTTCAGATTTTCACGAAATTATATATTTTTACATGACAATTGTTTCGACAAACATTTGATAAAGACACGGTGTTGTCGAAAAAATTGTCATGTAAAAATATATAATTTCGTGAAAATCTGAACTTTTAGTTCTTATTTATTTTGATAAATGGAGTAAAAGCTACCTCAGTCCAACTATTGCTGGTCATTATACTCTTAAAAAAATTATCATCTGTGGTGCTGTAGTAGATATCGAGTAGTTTTCCCCAACCTCATCAAGAGTGACGTCAGCACTTCGAGTAATAGCATTAGGGGCTTTAGCGTTCTGTACCTCGATTAATGTTTTCTATTTTTTTTTTAATTTTTAAATGTTTGTGATAAACGGCATCTGAGTCACGAGTTTATTTGGCACTAGTAGAACGCATACCTTTTCTACGACCTTTAGTTTTTGGGTACATTTTTGCAAAACAACACAAATGCAATCACTGACATGACTGTCAGAATTGACAACGTTGAAATTCAAACCGGGGCAAATATTTCCGAAAACAACCGATTGCTCCTCAACCCATGCGGGAATCTCCCTGAAATGTGACTCGCATCCGTGGCAAACGAAACTAGTGTGGTAAGATGACAATTTTCTCATGCTAGATCGGTGTATAATTGGTCATTTTAGAGAAGAAACTCTAAAAAAGTTTTTATTCACTTTTTTTCATTTTTTGCAAAATATTTACTGATTTTTCAAAAAAAATCGTGGAAGTTTATATTTGCTTATCTTTGTATGCCTTCTTAAATGCAAATGAGAAGACCATACTGTTTAAAACCTTAGTACTGGGATTTGGATTTCTGAACCGTCTCAAATTGCTTTACCTAACCACAATAATGGGAAAACGAAAAGTCGATGTCGGATGGTAATACGTACTAGATAAGTCGCAATCCGACGGGCTCACCCGTAAAAACATTTAACGAGGGGTAGTTTTTGTCATAAAATTTCTACTGGAACGTCCTTCATTAAATCAGTCGCAAAACGCCTTTTAGGTTCCAATTCGAGCGCGAAACCGATCTCCGATCTGCGAAAGTAAGGATGCGGCGGCAACATCAAAGAATATTATCCAATGAATATTCAAAAACGGCTCCTTTGATGGCAACCATGCCTCAAGAACAATTTCGACCTTTTACTTCTTGTTACGACGAGAATTTAAAAGTAATTATTTGTTTGCAAACAATGTCTGATGGACTTTTTACATTGCTACGTATAATTAAGAGCCCAACTAACATTTTTTGTTTTATAATCGTAACGGTTATGTGTTAACCTATTTTATAAAACTTGGAAACCGATCAGTTGCTCATGAAAGCTTGCGTTACTCAAAACTCATAACTACGTGATATACATAAATAAGCTTCATAACACATAAACAAAATATAGTGCAATAAAGATAGAACGGTGGCTACCAATAAGCTCCAGAATATCTTTGCCCAGAGATAATAGGTTGCACCCCATAAGAACCTTTTAACAACCTGGCAAAGCATTTCTGCATTTCGTTATTTGACAATATATTATTGTCTTGAAGTTAGCCCAAAATTTTGGTCTATTTGTATTAGATTTTCAGTAGTTCTGGATAATTTATCACACACGTTCTATCAAAGTTGTAATATTTAATTATTTTGCAAATGGGTTTGTGGTATAAACCTATTAGAAAATAAATATACACATTAAAAACTCAAAAACATAGAGGGCTCCTTCTACATGAAACATACCACGTTTTGTAGTAGCCGTAGAATATTGATTAGATGGTTTTAAAATTTTAACGGTTTTTATGCAGTAAACTATAAACCCAAAAACAACAGGTTTATAAAAAGGTTTTCGAGAAGGCCATGAAACCTTTTTCAAAATCCGGAAATAACCAAAACGCAAGATTTTAAAAACAAAGTGGCCGAAATATTATATATATGCTATATTATATCCTATATTATAAAACTTAAACCGTTCTGGTATTCTGATATTTATCGGGGTCTCATCAAACTTTTTAAATCAGCGGTTCTTATAAAACTGTGAAAACTGTTATAAAATATTTGTTATATATGGTCTGTTCATAGATATAAGAAAGTGACCAATTGCTTTTGAATGGGATTATCCAAGGGTGGTCATTAACATACAATGCAACAAGATTATTACCTAAAGTTTCAGAATTTGAATTCAGGTAAAATTGTGGTCCGCAATAAAAAATTATTTAATACCTACCTGTGTTTAATATTCCTTGGTTTGGTATACTACTTAGTTTAAATTTATTAGTAATCATTCTTATTTCGTGTGTAATACACCGTGTGTTGAATAGTGTGCGAAGATGCTCCCGCCGAAATGTAGAAAACACTATTCTATTGAGACTAAGGAAGTTATAAACAATATTTATTTGACTCTCATTGAACGTGGTGCCAGCAAGCAAACATCCTTAGAAGAAACGGCCGCATTGACGAAAATTCCAACATCAACTATATGGAAAATTGTGAATAATCCCATTTCAGCGAGGAAAAAAAGAAGCGATACTGATATTTTCTCGAGTGTAGATGAAAGTGATCAAGATATAATACGGCGTAAAATTTACCAGTTATACGAGAACCAAAGCGTGCCTACATTAGATACCTTTATTAGGAGGCTTGAAAAAGATGAAACCGGTGTTAAATATGGCAGAACTACTTTATGGAAGTGTATTCAACACATGGATTTTAGATTTACAAAATTGACGAATAGCAAGAATAACTTTGAATAATTTTGCATGCTGGCTCCAGATTTACAGAGAACAACAAAGGCCAATTATTTACTTGGATGAAACATGGCTCGACACTTATGATACCCCAAAAAAGAGTTGGGTTAACTTAACTGACAAATGTAAAACAAACGCGCCATCAAAAAAAGGTAAAAGAATAACTTTGAATAATTTTGCATGCTGGCTCTAAAGATGGTTGGATTGCAAATGGACTTTCTCTGTCTGCGAAAAATATTAAATATTCTTCTGTGGATTACCAAGAAGACACCACCGCTGTTTTATTTGACAAACTAGTTCCAAACATTCATCCCAATAGCGTTATTGTAATGGACAATGCAAGTTATCACAGTAGACAGTTGACTAATTTAAGTAGGTAATAAAAATAATTTGTAATTTTATTTTAGATTTAAACATAAATACATACATAAATAAATAAATATTGTTTAGTATCTTTCCTAACAAAACCCCAAATAATTAAATTCTAAGCAAAGTACGGACCTGTTCGGCCAAATTTCATTCTTACAGCTTGCCCGGGCCTTTCCTTAATTCGTATCAGTTAGTCACTGTCTTATATCTGTGAACAGACTTTACCTCCTAGAAATATATTAAAAAATACAAATGTAATTAAACGTCAGGCTTCGAAAAATTAAAAAAAAAACAGAAGGTAAATGTTTTAAAAGTTGAATTCTATACCGACGATTTAACGTGAGGCCGTTAAAGTGGTCCGCAATTTTTGCATTAATTAAAATACCGGGCGATATGCAAATCGCTTAGTCGTCGAAATAAAAAAGCGTATTCGAAAATCGCGTATCAGCCAGTTTAAATTCGCGCCTAATGTACTTTGATATGCAAAATGGCTGCGTTAACGGCCCGGTTTAAATTTGAAACTGTAATTTTTATGTTTCGTGCCCAGCTCCTAGGATAGGGATGACGGTCGCTTGAAACCGCGTCCTGATTTCCACTATTCAACTAAACAGCAGTGTAATATTTTTTGTTTGTTTCAGAATAATTCTCGGGACTTGGCGCACAAAATCGTAAGTAAACTACAGTTGCATCTCACAAATATTATTTACATTTCCCATTTTAATATGATTGAAGCTACAACACATTTTAAAGTTCGGTGCCATCTTGGTCCTTCGCTACTACCTACTATTGAAATAAGTAACGCTCAAGCATAAACGTAGTTCTGGCTGAATTCGACTCTGTAACGATAGATCATACGCCACTCGGACAATATGAACGGGCAGCCCGCAAAGTTGGCCGTGATCGCTCCATATTACCCTATTCCGATTTCTGTCATCGACAGACGATGATCTTCAGTACGAATAGCCATTATTCACGGCCACTAACTTTGCGTGGACCATTTGGGCGTATTAATGGCCACTATATACCGCACTTTACCTTATCCTGCTGCTATAACAATGGCCGAACGAAGGCAACAATTTATAAAATTTACGGACGTGCTCGTGTGAATATGGCGTTGGCATTACCAAGGACGATAGCAATATTCGTTACCTCTTGAACACGAATATATGACTAGGGGAATCTGAAAACTTACCTACATTCTTTCTCCTTTTTTTATAAGAGATAAATATTTTCTTAGTTTCCAGTTTTCTTCAATAAATCATTAGATTCTTAATTGGATTCTCATACAAATTTATATCACGCCTTGAAATGTATTCAGAATTTTCACGGCTAGACACATATTTTAAAATTTTTAGCTTAAGCTAAGATCCATACATAGCGTTGTCGTAACTCCTCCACCCTTATTGTAGGGTTGATCTCTGAATTTCCGGAGCGAAGTTCTTGGGGTTGACGTCTTTGGACTTCTCTCCAAAGACCTCCAGCCATCTATATAAGTGAAGTTGCGTTACTGCGTTTAAATCAACACCATACACTCTTAAAGATTTTGGATTTTTGGATACCGGATGATCCAAATCGATTTTAGAAAAAGCATTAAGTTTATTATTTCGTTTAGATAGAGTCCTCGGAATTTCGTATTAGAATGTTTTTAATTCTTATTTCAGTATCATCCTATTAAGGGAATATTTAATCTATTATTACAGTATTCGAGTCAGAGATTTTAAACTTTAATCCTATCGATCTTCATACAAACCACTTGCCAGTTTGACATCTCTTTACTCCCTGGTCTTTTACGACGATGTTGTCCGGCACCAGTTGTTTCCAAAATTGCGGTTTCTCCCAAGATACGCATCAGCAATATTTGCCCAAATGTTGGGTTTATTTTTGGCAACGCACTTTGTATGTGTTTGTGTCGCGTCAAAGAATTAAAACAGAAACACCGCACCACACCATCAAAGCAAGAAGTAAAATATTTTTTGAAGAAACTCCCACAGGCTTACTGCAATACTATTTACAAAACTTCTGGATTCCTGCTGCGTCGGTTCCTGGTTTCTTCAGAGCTAAACTGAAACAGGATGATTGGCGAAACGTTAACAAGTTCGAATCAACCACAACCGACGCAGAAAGAATATAGAAGTTTTATAAATGATAACAAATAAAATAAAAAATAACTTGTACAAACATTAAAGTTTCTTTTTATAAAACTTCTGGATTCCTCCTGCGACAGTTTTTGTTGACTCGAACTAGCTAACGTCTCGCCAATCATAATGTTGGCTTCTTCAGAGCTTGACTGAAACTGGGTCGCATTTTACTCTGTACCTGCTTTTATATTGCTCGGAGGGGCGAAGCTAAATGAGTGACATAAACACCGTCTCGTATGACTGATTCCCATATCGGTGCCAAGTAGCGACCTGAGTCGCAGTTAAGATTGTTAGGTTGCTTATAGAAATTTAGATTCTCGGATTTTTCGTTGGTAGAAGAACTGATTACATGCAAGAATTTTAGTTTTATCCAATAAAATTTTATGTCCGGCAGGCACTGCTGATGAGTTTATTTGTCTTAGTCTTAATGCTCTTTTATGTTAGTTGATATTTTTTGTCCGGTCCCTCCAATGTATTCTTTGCCGCATATACATGGAGTGATTTTTGGACCGGATGGTGATATGACAATACATTAAGGTATCGGTCTGTGTGCGTAGGTTTTCTGTAAACATAATGACCCAATGTTAGGTCTGATTTTACATTGATAAGAATATCTAAGAATGGGAGGTTGTTATTAGTATCCATTTCAATGGTAAAACGTATGTTAGGGTTTAAATGTCTGAGAAAATCTACTACAGATGTTTTAGCATTGAAATAGAAACTAATTACAATCTCCCATTCTTAGATATTCTTATCAATAGAAAATCAGACCTAAAATTGGGTCATTGTGTTTACAGAAAACCATGCATTGTCACATCACCATCTGGCCCAAAAATCATCGATTATCAACTGTCTTGTTTACAGAGCCGTAAAACTATCTCAGCCTGAGTCATTGAACCTAGAATTAAAACACCTTACCTCTGCTCTCCTCTCTTATAATTTCCACATTAAAGATATTAAGCGTTCCATCACAAAATACACTTCACCACAACCTTCCAATAGTAATGAAACCGAAAGCAATCCCATACTTGCCACTGTTGTCCTTCCTTATATTCAAAACATCACTGACCACATATCAAAAGTTCTAAAGAAGTATAACGTCAAAACCAGATTTACCACTTGTCCAAAAATCTCTCAACATCTTTGACCCGTCAAAGACAAAATTCCATTTAAAATGTCAGGAGTTTACAGCATTCCATGCATATGCGGCAAAGAATACATTGGAGAGACCGGACAAAAAATAATATCAACTAGGCTCAAAGAACATGAAAGAGCATTAAGACTAAGACAAATGAACTCATCAGCAGTTACCGAACACAATCATGAAACCGGACATAAAATTTTATTCGATAAAACTAAAATTCTTTCATGTAATCAGTTCTTCTACCAGGTATCAGGTATCTCAGGTAAGATAACGTGCGAGCCAGTTTCAGTCAGCTCTGAAGAAGCCAACAGGATGATTAGCGAAACGTTAGTTAATTCGAGTCAACGAAAACCGGCGCAGAAGGAATCGAGAAATTTTATAAAAAGTATTACAGTAGCCTGTGGAAGTTTCTTTGAAAAATTAAAATCCCTAATATCCCACTCGAAAATCGATTGTTTCGTCCTCACCCTCCACCCTCCACAACTATAACAATATAACGAATGATACTTGCTCCCAAGCAAGTATCAGCAAAAATCTATAACGTAAATACGTTGGAGATTCAAACCCACACGCGGCGGGATTGGAAACGGGAGACGTAGGCGTCGATACGGCGTCGTCGGAATGTCTCGGCGCGTCGCGACGTTTACAGTAAATCACGTGACGGGGCTGATTACGGGCAGCGGCTAATTGTAATTGGATTACCACGGCGACTGCCGGACCCCGACGGAAATTCGTTTTTAATTGCCCTCCTGTCGATTGGGTTTTGCGCTTCCGGGGACTCCCGGTTAATAACGACCCTCGAAAAAGGGGAAAAAAGGAGCGCGGCGCGGATCGGGTGATAATTCGGGCGAGACTGTAATCGGATATCCGCCGCTTTTGGTTAGATTTACGTGCTTGGGGTTAAGGAGGGTCGTACGGTGTGTGTTTTGTCTTACGTAAGCAACGACATCGGACTGGGATCGATTAAACGCGCTGTAAATCTGGGGCTTGCGGTTGGAAAATACCGGCAGTTGCATAGAGGATACGGATAAAGCGCAACGGAAGCACCGACTGATATAACATCGTTAGCCTCGGGAATACTTTGTGAGACCTGGTATTCATAACCATCGCGGTTTCGATGCGCATTTTATTTAGTGCTGAATACTCATGGTCGTGCATAAATGAAATAGTTTTTTTTTCGGATGCTTTATGTCAGACAGGCTACTGCTAATCAACACAACTTATCAATAGCAGGGATCCACCCCAGAGACAGCACGAAAAAAATGTTAAAGATCAACGATTTTCTTTATTGACAGATCGAGCTTTCGTGAAACTATGCGAACTCCATCAGGACCGTAAAAACACAAATAGAAAACACACCATCCAAACGTCGTTGAGTGTAAAAATAATTGATACAATAGCAAATTGAGACCTCTACAGGAGTTAATTTTAATTGCGTAAATTTCTTAAAGACTAAATAATAAATCTCATGCCAGTGGTGCAGAGCACCCAAATTTTTTCAGCGATATAGCTGTGTTGGATATAGAACCCAACGACTTTAAAGGAAGATTTTTGGGGATGCGACTATGAACTATAAAAATTACTAACTAACCAAAAATTTACAAAAAAATAAGTCCTTTCGTATTGATGCGAGCCATCTTTTCCGATTGTTGACTCAATAACCCTTATAATTTTGGTTACTATATATGTATGTTATTTATCATTTCTAAGAAATTATGGAAATTAACAAAAAAAAGTAGATAAGGACTTTTTAATGACTGACTCCAAAACAGTCTTAGACACTGGTATCAGAGTCTTAAATTACAATTAAAATAAAATAATTATACAATAGGCTTGGTATTTTATGCAAGACTTTTTAAGTTTAAGTAGTCACTGCAAATATATATTTAATTTATGACAAAATTGTTTTATTGTTTTTGTTAAGTCTGAATACGACTATATAATGGTTCTCTTTGTACCTTAAGAGTTTTTGAAAAATTAGTTCTAAAGTCACTTGCACTATAGATATTTTGACTATGTTGTTGTTTCACTTGCTTTATATCTAAGTTACTTTTTAACAGTTTTTGTTGTTCAAAAGTTTTTGTGTTTTTGTTGTTTCATACTCTATTTCTGTTGAAGTGAGACGTTTTATTATAAATATGGTTCTTACTGCTTTGTTTGGAGTTCTCCGTAATTTATTAGAAATTAATTAGATGGGTGGGAAGAATTCCCCGGCATGGAATTAAGTATCTTATATGAGGTGCAATGAAGCTATTATAAAGTAAAAAATCTAGATTTTTTGTTAAACTGTCTCTACACCGTTTTATTGCACCAATGATTGGACCATTTTTTTACGATTTGGTTCGCATATATGTTCCACTCATGTTTATTTGTTTAGATTAGTCCT